GCCATGCTCATTAAAAGTGTTTATTTTAGGCTAAACAGTAGGACTTCGGGTAAACAAGAGCTGGTGGACATATTAAGTCCACAGTTGTGCATAGGTCTGAAAAGGCATGGGACCTTCCTCTCTGGGCTTTTCCACAGAGAAGTCACATGGTCCTAATGTTTCCCCTTAACTAACTCATTTGCAGTGTAGATTTTTTTCCCAATGGTTGGTCTTTCTGTCTTTTTTCACTTTTTAAAAGTGTATAGATGATTACGAGAAAGCATGCATTTGGTTGGTTGTAAGAAAAATGGCACTCTGGATTTTTATTATTGAAGAAACAGGATAAAAAAGATAAAATGAGGATTCTAATCATTATATGTATTTAAATAATGAAAAAGAGACCCTAGGTTAGAAAGGTATCTTTTTAAAATATGTTAAAAGACAAGTGAGATTCCAAAATTACTTTTGTGGGCTTTCTTTTGATCACATGAGGTTTGACTTTTTTTTACTGCTTTATTTTAATGTTTCTGGCCATGCTTATAATATGTACATATTTTATTATAATCACTGTTGTTAAGAATTTATAACTCAACTCTTAAAATTTGCCTGTGGCTGAAATTTGATCTATAGGTATTTGGCTTAGATACAATTCTTCAAACATTACTCATTTTTAAAAGGCAATAATTGATATTAGATTGGCTGTTAATACTTGTTTGAAATATTAAGCACTGTTTTTTTTAATCTTATACCAAAAATGATCAGAAACATTACAGAAGAATGACTATTTAAAAATAGTACTATGGAATTGACAATTTCAAAAACAAAGTTACTCTACTTTAAAAAGTTTCAACTCCCATTTTTGGTTGATCATGGATTAGGATAAGAGACTTCATTCATTATGTCAAATGATGATTACCTCCCTGGTGACAACAGTTTAATAGTTAGTAGTACAGAAACATAAGCAGAATGTGAAGCTCTGTCTTGACCCACAACTTCACAGCCGCCTCTTTTTCCCCCTAAATTTTTTAAAGGTTTTTCTGCGTTTCTGAAATACCACTGAGGTATTTGTCAAGTTATGTTAGTCCCTTAATAATTCACTTTTTTGTTCTTAAGGTCATAGTTGTTTTTACTTAGAGAATAACAGTGCCCTTTCTATTGACTCCTTTTCTTACTGTCTTATTTTTTTTACCGTCTCTACCCCTTTAGAGGAAAGACTGTCCAATCTCTCTCTGCTTCTCCTTCTCCCTCTCCCTCCCTGTCCTCCTCATGACACCCAGGCACTGTGTCACACTGTGGGCCCAGGGAGTGCATGGAAGGAAGGGAGAGGACTAGTGCCTGTCCTCATTCAGTGTGTGCTGCTTTGTCACCACAGTCCTGCAGGGATCACTGCCATTCTCTTCTGTCATTCAAGTTTGAACTTTTACATTCAAACTTGAGCATCAGAGTAGACCATAGTCTACTCTGTCCTTTTAATTTATTTCTCATGTTGGTCCTGTGAATCTCTCTTCATTCTGGTTAATTTCCTCATCCTATTCTATTTTGCCCATGAAGTTTTCTCTTATCCTATCACACAGCATCTTAAACTTGCTGCCCCTTTACCTCTTTACTTTTCTATTGTCCTTCATCACCTTGGAATGGTATCTTAAATACAGAAGTGTCACAGATGGATGCTAATCATGTGAAAGCTCTGAACCATCATCATTCTGGTACCCTGTTATTATCAAATGGCATTCCCTTAATGTATTCTTTGTACTTATTGATTAACTACTGAGGTTAGATACAGAAAAATCACACAACTATATATATTGGATATCCTTCAAAATCATGTCCTGAACCCCATCTGAATGCTTAACATGTTTCAGTCCATTATTGTTTTACTCCAGCACTCATTTCAATGAAAGATATAACACATATTTAATACCACAATAACACAGAACCACAGATTTCTTTTAACAGCACTTGCAAGCACAAAAACCACAAAATAATACAAAAAGTTTGGTGAAATGTTCAGTTAGTCAAGAGATATTTAGGAATTATATGAGTTTTGAGTTAGATTTTGAGAGGAATGATAAACACGAATTGGCAAGAGAGTGTTAAGATTGGAAAATGTTTCAAATGAAGACAGATAGAAAATGTAAAATAAAAGATCAAAAGCTCCTTGAGAGCAGGCATAATTTCTTTTTTAACTATTTTTCCTAATTACGTATGTTTAAAAAAGAAAACCACAGGCCCAGAAAGGTGTGATTCAGACCAAATTCCCAAACTGGAGTTTAATACCCAATCTAATTGCAATTTCAGCTTCCACCAGAAATGTGGCCTTAACTGGTCAATCAGGAAATTTTTCTTTCCATCAGTGCCAATAAGTCTCGTCACCTGTGTCCTCTCCATCCCCTAAAGAAAAATGTCATCTGCATAACAAGACCCCTTATATTTCCTCTAGAAAACAGCCTTGTTTGGAATAATCCTTTTCTTTTACTAATTACTCTTATGCCCCTACCGTGTTCAATAAAATCCTTCCATTTTGTACAACTCTTGGGAGTGCTTCTCTATTTGCTAGATGAGGTGCTGCTGATTCGTAAATAGTTTAGCAAAGCCAATTAGATCTTCAAATTTACTTGGTTGAATTTTGCTTTTAACGTGTAAAAATTAGTACTTACTGCGAAAATATAGGAAAACACTAAGTCTAAAGAAGAAAATATCAACTGTAGTCTAAATATCCAGGGATAACCATTTTAACATTTTGGTTAATATTTCTACAAAACTGTATTTTGTATGCAGTAAGTGATTCATTTCTCAGGAGACCAGACACCCTTAAATTTAAGAACCAAATAAATCCAGTTCAAATTCTACTCTTAACACCAGGTAGCAGCTATGGAACATGTGCATGTTAGTTAATCTCTGGGCCCACCTTACTTCCACTATAAATGAGGATAATAACTTTTATAGAGTTATTAGGATTAAGGAAGATGATGTATATTGGTTTGTACATAGTAGATACATAACAAATCATATTGCTATTTTGCTGTTATATTTTAGCTGACTCCTATACCTATTTTCTTATGTTTTGAATATGTAGAATCTGAACTAATGAGGCTTTATAGTATTGACAAATTAAGACAAGTCTGAACAGAGTATTGATATAAAACTGGTTTTATTAGAGAGGCAAGCTACAAAGTATTTACTAAGTTTGAGCTTTTTTTATTATGATGATGATGTTAAGTTTGAGCTTTGTACAAAACCCTCAGCCAATCAAATTTTTTCATTACAAAAGTGAAATTTTCTTGCAACAATTGCTGAATGGCTCATCATCTGAACTACCCCAAATTATTCAAAAACATGCAAATACAGAAGCTGAATTCATTATTAGTAATATTGACCATTGGATTTAGTATAAAGGAAATATTCTGATAATAGCTGTAACTAGTTGAGCTGCTAGGGAGACAAGAGGATCTCAAACTCATTGGTTGTATGGAAGTATTGAAGTTTTGGTGCCCTAAAGATGTATAACTTCTGATGGATATACAGTGTACTACCAATTATCTTGTAAGTTTTTGGCTATTTTTTAGCCTGATTTCAAGTTAGTATTTATTATGACACATTATAAGTAAATATTTGAGAAATTACACCTTTTACTGCAAAATATTTTGAAAGGATATAAGTGTATGAAAATTTTGGTATTTTAAAATGACATATCTGTGATTATTCTGTATTTGAAATTAATTGAGTTTATAAATGACAAACCTTGTGATGCCATAGACTTTTATATTAAAATGTTTTAGTTGGGCGCCTGGGTGGCTCAGTTGGTTAAGCGACTGCCTTCGGCTCAGGTCATGATCCTGGAGTCCCGGGATCGAGTCCCACATCGGGCCCCCTGCTCAGCAGGGAGTTTGCTTCTCCCTCTGACCCTCTTCCCTCTCGTGCTATCTCTCATTCTCTCTCTCTCAAATAAATAAATAAAATCTTTAAAAAAAAAAAATAAAAAATAAAATGTTTAGTTGTCTTCAGCTATTTCATTATACAAGCCTCTGCAAAACCTTTTAGACAATTTTTCATGTATTTTGTATTTATCCAAACTAAAAGCACATTCCCCAAGCCTTTTTCTTATTAATATTTATTCCATGTATATTTTTTATAATGTAATTTTTAAATTTCTCATTCATTTATACCATCAGTCATTACATACTTTATAAGCACTATTTTATGTCCAAAAATAACATATCCCTAAATAAAATGGTTCACATTCTGCCCCATCTCCATCATTTTCAGTCTATCCCGTTGCCCTGCTTTACTTGTGCTCATAGCACTTCTTACCATGTGATCTTTTATAAAGTATACCTGCTTATGTGTTCTTAAAACATAAAAACTCCATGAAGGCAAGGACTTTGACTTGTTGCAACTATATCCCCAGCTTCAACAGCAGTGCCTTTTAGATATCAAACATTCAAGAGTATATATGGACTGACTGAATGAATGATCTGATAGTAGGAAAATGCATATCTCTCTACGAAGAGTAGCATATGTATTAGTCAGTTATAGGTATTTAGGTTTACAGGGGTGATAGAGGAACTCAAGGAAAATTTTGCCTTCTTCACATATAAATAGGGCTAGCAGATGACACTTAAAATTCAGAGGTTAGGATTTCCAGATCAGTCGTATTTGACAAGAGTGGAGGGAAGGAGTTTAATTCTTGCTGCCACCACCCTTGTTCACAGTGGTCTAGGAGACTGTGATTTCCTTTGGAGCTCTTGGTTACAGGGAGAAGCAGCAGGATGTTTAAGTACTCTGAGGGGTGCTGTTTTGTTGAGCTTTCAAACCATAGAGAGGTGTGAAAATTAGGTCACACCTCATGAAAATTAAATAACAAAACATTCTATCTAGTTTAATAGTACCCTAGTTTTTCTACTGCTATATTTCTTTTTAGCTATAAGTGGAAATTTCTATTTTTGGTTTAGTATCAAAACTGGAGGGTTTTTTCCCTTTATTTTGGAGGAACTGACATGTTTTTTATTCTTATTCCTCAGAATGGATTGTGGAGATGAATATTCCCATAATTCTTTTGACCTACATTGTCTGTTAAATTCGTTTCCTGGAGACTTGGAATTTAAGCAGATCTTCAGTGACATTGATGAAAAGTTAGAACAAAATGCTACAAGGTAAATATTGCTAATTACTTAAAATAAGTTGGTTTCATGATTCATTCACACATACTTTACCTGGTCTAGTTTTAGTGTTAACTCCTGAGAAAAATTGATGAGACCCTCCCCTGTTGAATTTAACATGATTTTCTTTGTCTGATTAGTACTTTATTTTTTTAAAAGATTTTATTTATTTGAGAGAAAGAGAGTGCACACACACTTGAGGAGGAGGGGCAGAGAGAGAAGCCGATTCCCTGCTGAGCAGGGAGCCCAGCTTGATGATCCCAGGACCCTGCGATCACAACCTGAGCCAAAGGCAGGCATATGCTTAACCAACTGAACCACCCAGGCGCCCCTGATTAGTACTTTAAATAAGACTCGAAAATTTAGGCACTGCTTTCAAATAGGTAAATTAAAGTTTATTGAATTTCTATTAATTTCTTAGTTTGCCAATATTGATGTCCTGAATTTTCATTAATATGCTTAGCATTACGCATCCTCACTTGATAGATAAGCATAGAAATTAAAAATTTGAAATTAAGGTAATAAAATGGTATAAGCATAAGGCCATGGATTGCTTGAGTTGTTGAAAACAGAACATGAAAAATATATTATTTTTATGTAATGTTTGTCATTGTAAGTCTCCTTTTCACTTGGAAGGGTGGAGACTCCATAGAGAGTTGCTGTGCAAGGTTAGTCTTCATCACCTACTCCAAAATTAGTGCTGCCAAACCCTAAGGGTGGCAAGGACAGCTAAGGAGTTTGCCATTAGTAGGTTTTTTAACAGAAAGCCCTTTGTCTTTATATGTTTGTGGATCTTAGAGTCAATCAGTTCACTTACTTGAATCCTTTTAGTTAAGGGTTCTAATAATTCACCTCATGTAGGTTATAAATATGCAAACTACAGTAAAAATTTCTAATGTAGAATGATACATAGTATTTCCTTTTTTAAATTTTAAGGTATAGTTATATCGAATTGTCAAAGAAACCAAACCAAGCAAGTGAAATGTTCCTGTGATTTTTTTTCCCTCATGTTTTATATAAGAATGCAGTCAATTTTTTGTCATAGCAAAGGGCATAAATAACTTAAATTCAAAAGAAAGCGTAATCTTGGGGAATTATAATTAAAAACAAAATCTCCCATCCCGACATTCTCTCCACAAAGGCAGAAGAGAACAAAAACACTTCCATTATTCAACAGGCTTTAAACTAGAGTGCAATGCATATCACAGGCATTCTGCTAGGAGTATGCAAAGACAGAGCTAGGAATCTCACCCCTTTATATAACCTAGTAGATACGACTCATTACAAACATGTTTTCAAGATAAGTGATAGCTCAGTCTTCACGGGGAAGATTTGGCAGCACATTTCCACGCATAGTTCATCATAACTTCACCTGTGTTAAAGGATACCTGTGTTAGCTAATTGGTTTTATCCTGAGGAGAAACACACTTCTCATATCTTAATGACAAGGTGTGATTTTGCAGATTGGAACAAAGTGCATATACTGAAGTTAGGCTTCTAATCTTGGGCCGGAATTCGGAGCCAAGGAGCCATCTCCCTTGCTTGTTTGCATTTTGAAACGATGGCTTTCAGGTTCTTGAGAAAGATAGTCCTGGCTGGAAAGCTGACAAAAGGTCTATCTAGTCTTTTAAGGGACACATTTCATGGGAATTGAAAAAATTCTTAAAATTACAAATTTCTAAGATACTTTAAGGAAAAGGAAGAGAGGGAAATCTCTTCCCTTATTTTCAACAGGAAGAATTAAGCCTCTTATTTTGAATTTGCTTTTGCATTGCCCGTATATGTATGCACAGGCACACACACATGCACATACATATACATATATGTGTTTATATGTTTTTTTAAAGATAGCATATGTAATGTAATTTAACCATACTATAGCCTATGTATTATAATTTATATATAAGTATAAAATAACTGTATTAAACTTTAGTGTAATTGCACAATTTTTAACCCAAAGAAACTTATAAATGAAAATAATACTAGCTTAAATATATTTATAAGTCATTTATCTAAATTCCAGAGATGGTTATATTAAAACAAATTTTAAATATTTTTTAAGAGGTAACCTGTCTTCATAATAGCATTAGGTTTTTTCAAAACAAAATAAATCACTGAACTCTGATGCTTTTGTTATAGACTGCTTCATTTTTATTTGCTAAACCATCTGTAGTTAATTTCCTGCCCTACCTGATCAATAAGAAATCATGCTTAGAAGTAAAACAGTGATTAAAATATTGTATTTTGCATTCATAAGTTGTTATTTAGGTCAAAACTCAGATGTTATTAAAAAGAAAATATGACATGGAATATAAGGATATAATTTTTAAATTAAAAATATTTTATTGCCCATATATTAAAACAAACCGAGAACAGAACCACCTGAAGTGACCGTTGATCTTCACAAGGGATAAAATAAGGGTGTAGCTGTATGTGCTGTATGCGACATTTAGAATAAAGTCTATTTTTCATCAAATTCAATTATGTTTTTATTATACCCTAGAGAATAAACATAATAGTAGAGGGTGTATATATTTTTAAGAATAAAATACTGAATAATAACCATGGTTCAGAAGAATGTAAATCATTTATGCACTCATTTATTGCCTTCTAACAGAATAGCTTTTAGAAAATTGTATGTCATGACGAATCAGTTATGCCACACTTACACTGCAGTAGTTGAATTACCCTTGGCATTTTTGTATTCTAACAGTTCTATTTATCTCTCAATGCTGTACATTGAATAAGTAATGAACATCTGTATGATATGGGTTTACCAGATACTTTTTAAAGGAAAGAACATTAGTAATTCATTTTTAAATAGAGTGTTTTTCCTTACCCTTGAATTTTTAAAGTTGTATTTCTAGTAGTGACCCTGGATTCTAAGTGTAAATTCCTTCCCTCTTCTTAATATCATCAGGTTTTATGGGCCACAGGGTCTTTTGCTTCCCCAAAGCAGTGATTCACCACAATGGCGTAGAGTGCCCAGAGGTCAGTGAACCTTCCCCTGCCCTTCAACAGAGGCTGTCCTTCTCTCAGACCATTTTCCCTTTAACATCATCATTTCCATTCAAGTCAGAGCCAGGTGACTCTTAGGTCTAGACCATGGAACTCAGTGATGGCGAATCATTTACTTTTAAAACTTATAAGAATTGGTAACAGGAAGGTAAATAACCTGTCAAAGAGGAATACTGTGTATGTTGTAGACACAGACTCAGCTTAGTTCAGTAACTGAAAACTGCACATGATATTGAAATCTATTTTGAGCTAAATGGAGCTTAATAGTTGAACAAGATACTAAGGTGTCTAAGTTTTATGGGGTTCACTATATGACATAGGATGATTTTCTCCTCTTAATGTTCAGTTAGATAGATGAAATTGTATCATTAAGTTTATTTTACCTTTCTGTTTTCTAAAGTTTATTTTTTTTTAAGATTTTATTTATTTATTTGAAAAATAGAAGGAGCACAAGCCAGGGGAGGAGCAGGGACAGAGGCAGAGGGAGAAGCAGCCTCCACTCTGAGCAGGGAGCCCGGGACCATGACCAGAGCTGAAGGCAGACCCTTAACCAACCGAGCCATCCAGGCACCCCTCTGGTTTCTAAATATAGACAGTCTTTGGGTGTTCCTCAAGACCTAAGTTTTGCTGGTACTGGTACAGGATTACTACCTTTTTTTTTTTTTTTTTTTTGTAACCTAAAGGAAGAACAAGAAGTGTTATCATGGATAATATTTTTCTTAATCCAGGAGATGGGGGCAAGGATGGGAGGCATTAACTTTAAATTGTCAGAGAACATTGGATACGTGGTATCTATAAATTTAATCGTGCTTATTTACAGAGGATACATTTTCCATAGATTACATTTACTTTTCACATAATGCTTATTTTTGTGTGTGTTTATATATGAAATTTGTGGGGGGGGAGTTTTCTACATGATGGCCTAAAGTTGCCAAAAGAAATCTTCAAATAGGCTGTCAACTTAGGGCTTGTCATGGTAGAACCACAAATCTGCCGGTGGACACATTCACATTAATATATTTTATGGCCATAGCAAATTATATAAAATGAAAATTTGTCATTTCAGACTGTACTGAGTATGATTACTTCTGGCAGCATTTTGGCACTTATTTAGTAATAACAAGAGGATGCAAATTAATACTTTTTTAACTTCAGTGTGTGTACTTCTCTTTTGTGTTCTCTATTCATGTATATTTCATTTGACAGAATCCCTACCTCTTCTCCTAAATTACTGAAAAAGACTAGGCTACATGGAAAGAAACCTGAAAGCTTTCCCCATGTATCCTTGAATCCATAGTAAGACTTAAATAGGCACTTTCCAGTTTCCCCCATCTGGGCCCTCCTCAGTACTGTTGTCCTCCTCAGAATTGATAACACTTCCAGGCAGACAGACAGCATCCTGGGCCTCAGCAGTTCAGCAGCCGTAAACTTTGCCTGACCCCATTTACATTTTCTACTTTTTAAACGTATGCAGTCCTCCCACTGAAGCTTTCCACCTGCAGTCCCGTGATGTATTCAGGTAGAAGTGGAGGTAAGGGAGAAGGTGACAAGCCACGCTGTGTTTCACAGTGGCCTATGGAGCCACTTTCTTATCATTTTCTGTCACTCTTAGCTCCACTGTTTGAATGTCTGTGGTGTTCCTAACTCTTTTCTCCATAGTCCTGTGTTGTGTGCCCTCAATGTCTGCTTTAGGAGGCTGAGTAGTAGGGTAAATTGTGGGACCAGTAGCCCCATTAGATGATTTTTAAATGATTGTTTCAAGCAATGCTTGCATTGTGTTTGACATTTTTTAAAAGTGTAATTTTTGTTTTTGTATGTGTTAGCTTCACCCGTTCTTGTTCAAATATGTGTAAGGCAATAACAAATTTTTATTTGAGGATATTTTTAAAGAATATTATTATGATTTTCTTTCCATGGGAAATAAAGGGAAGCAAGTGTCTGCCTGTTTTTAAGTTGTTATGATAATAAAAATGTGA